TTTCACTTGTATACTTGCCCTTCCCCCCTTCCTTCTCTGCTCTCACATAGCTGTGTATATTTCCAACACCAGTCTGCTTTTACCGGTTCTCACGGTCTCTTCGCTTGCGGATTTCTTATATTTTTCCTTCTACCCTGAAGATGGAGGCGATACGTTCCTCCGAAACGTCGGTTAACACCACATATACACGGTGCCAAATCCCAGAAGACTGCTTTCTCTAACGTAAATGTTGCCAATACTGCAAGAAGTTTCCATTCACAACGCGAAACGAAAAATGAAGTGGTTGTGGTTGTGGTTGTCCTGTTGCAGGAGCTATACGTAAGAATGTTTGCTCGCGTGTACCAGTAGGTGGTACCGGTGGTACTACATAAATGTACATACAGTGCCATCTGTTAAAATTTTCAAAATGGTGGTCGTTGAGAGGAGGTGTTATTAGTTCCCTAATGAAAGTTTGTTTGTTAGTTTATGTGCTTTAAATATTTTAGAAAAGTGAAGTGAGTTGTGTTTAGTTGTATCAGTGAATAATATAAAATGATAGTCCAGGAGCCTGTCCAGGTAAGCTAGGACAATTTGTTTCAACCAGCGAGTTGCTTGACCATAGACCGATCCATAAATTTGACAAACAAATGTTACCTGTGTGAAGTGTATTCCTTTTGCCAAACTTAAACCACATCAATTAATTTTACCTGATGTTTTATGTATTACTTTATATTATAGGTGGTAGATGGATTTGTACAAAAATGAGGCAGTCAGGTGACAAGCATTATTGAATTGACTTCATACAGAGTAGGCCAAGTGTTTTTATTAATACTTGCTTTGGATTTCAGGCAGCTATATGGCATTGCCTCAATCATTATGCTTATCCTGACGCAATATTTCTTGCTGAACGTCTTTACGCTGAGGGTAAGTTCCACAATCTCAATGCATCCAATTGTCTTATTGTTAGCAGTTAGTAGCAGCAACAGTGGTGGTGGTGGTGGTGGTGGTGGTGGTGGTAGTAGTAGTAGTAGTAGTAGTAGTAGTAGTGGTAGGAGGAGGAGAATATGTTATATCAGAAAGTTTTAGCCTTTTTGGGCCTCATTAGTTAGCTAATATTTTTCTAAATATTTTGACAACAACTGTACAGTGTAATGACCGTGTACTTGAGTCCATATGTCCTGCCTTACAGAGTAGACTAACACAACCAAACCTGTGATGACACAGATTTCTTTTAACAAATATCAAAGTAGTATAAACATGACTATTAATTTAGACATTGTCATCCTTGAGTTTTTCCAAACACAGTGTTTTGGAAACTGCATCTGTTTCCATATTTAGGTGTAAGGGTGGAAAGATTCCTATTCATAGGACCTGTTAGAAAGATCTAGTCATGATCACTGGGCACTGAGAGGAGTTTTAAGCAGTGTCCTCATTCTCAAAATTACCGGGTTTTTGGACTTTGTCCAAATACCATAAGCAAGGGATAAGGATAGAAAGCTTCAAATTAAAATTATGATCAAAACTGAATGCAAATGAAATTTTCTATAGATAGATTTATAATATGTCATTCAGTAAATAGAAAATCTACTTAGAATTCTTTTGGTGCCCTGTAATTGAGACTATTGGGCCCAATTTAGTAGGAACCTACCTTCCCTTCCATCTTATGAGAGAAACAGATCTAGTGTGTCTGGGAAACCTCTAGGTGATTGACAGTGTTCAAAATAAATATTCATATTTTGCAATAACATGATCAGAAACATTCTGACTTAGCATGAAGAAAGGTGTAAGTATGTGGTGCACACACATTTAGTAACCAGCATAGCATATGTTAAATTGAATTAGGTTAGACTTGCTTAGCTTGGAAAGTTGGTGGAAGAAGACAGCAGCCTCCACTGCAGTAGTTTACTGTTTTGCTTGAAGTCTCCAAACAGCAAGTGGAAGAAGCATGACAAGATCATTTTATAATATGTGAAATATAAGGTAGGGTAATGTAACTAACACATTGAAATGATCCTAGGGCATTGTTTATTATCTTAAAATCCTTTTATCAATATAAAACTTGAACAGATTAACATCAATAAAGGGTGTGTTGCAGAAATACTGATGTCTGAGGGTACAGAAAGCATTTTCTTTGACATTGTTGTAATGCTTAAATATTGTAGCTGCAAACCGTAATTCTTGAATTAGGGGGTCCAGGTTCAGTACATTTAACTGTATTTCCACAGACTTGTAGTGTTTTCAGTAACATGAGTATTTTTGAGCTTTAAAAGTAAAGTTATCCCTGTAACAGGTAATGGGGGTCCGTAGGGTTGTGAGATGTCAAGGCTTCCACATTTTCTAGACTTTCAGCTCCCAGATGGTGGTGAAGTTGTCAGCCTTACCCTCTGGCCGCCCCTTACTTCCAGGAAGATTCCTGATACTCATTTCTGTTAGAGGCTGAGTTGACCCTGGGGCCATACCTTGGCTGGAAGGATTAGATCAAATGGAAAACCCACTGACCTGACTGGGATTTGAACCCCATGACCTTCAGGCTTGTAGCATAGTGTCTCAATGAACAACACTACTGTGGTCCCCTATTTTTGTTCAGTATTTGCAAATATAAGTATTTATAGGCACATGAGTCAACTGATGGTCTCTGTGGTGAGGGTTTTCCTTCATCAACTTATAATTATGAAGGTATTAAAGAAATCTGTTGTTGCTGTGGAACCTGAGAGGCCATCGTCTGTTCACAAAAGCCTACAATTTGATTCTATCACCAAGTAGGTTGAAGTAGTGGGAATGATCTGTGATTGTATTCAAGAGATGCTCTTCTTGGCCAGGACATCAGCTGTCCTGTTAGAGGTTCTTTGTGGTTTTCATCGGTCTCTCCGGGAAAATTCTGGGTTGGTACCTCAATTTGACCATGACTACTACTTTCCAGTTCTTTAGTTCCTGTTATTCAACAGTGAATAGTCTGGATACTCACAGCATCTAAAATAAACCAGGAAATAAAAGTTCACCATATCCTGAGAGAATAAGTACTGTGCTCTTGCCTTCATTAAGATCCATTTTAATATCATGCCATTTAAGAAATGATCATAGTTTTGGTATTCCTTGTATAGTTTTGACAATCTGTACATTTGTCAAAGGATTCTTTTCAAGTAGGATTTGAGGTTCTCACAGCAGTGGTTATGAAGAATACTGTCTTCTGGGATATAACAGCATTTAGTCCATTGAAAGTCAACCAACGTTTCAAAGGAACATGTTGCCTCCATCTTCAGTATCGAAGAATAAGCTGAGCAAGAAACCAACATGAAAGCAGGTGGCAATCAGAGCTCTGAAACCTCTGTGACATCAGTTGACTTTCAGTGGAATACATGCCATCATATCCCAGAAGATAAGTGCTCCTCAGTTTTTTCCCACGGTTTTTCCTTTTTTTCAATTATAATCTTGGTTTTCCAGTACAGTTTTGTTTCTGCTGTGATTTAAAGAGAGCTTCTTGCAGACCACCATTTGAGAAATTCTGACAAGAGTATGACGTAGTTACTCAAACCTGAAGTTTCCGTCATTTACATACATACTGTATGTGAGATCACTATCATATATATGTTATTTTGGGAGAAACATTGGCTGAAATCTTGTGAGTGCATGCATGCACTTGTATGTGTAAATGGGACAAAGAATTAATTAGAAACTCAAGGGTGATTAAACCAACTCATTCCATGGTACAGGGTCTTTCAAGAAAAGTTGACAATTACTAGTCCAGTAAAAAATTTTGTTCTTTTATGGACCTTATTGTTAATTACTGTGTCCAGAGATGCCCATGATTTGTTCCGCTTCTAAGCCATTTAAATCCTTTTCACTTCTTAACTGTGCTTTGCATATTTATAACAACAGGCATGTAATAGTTTATGCCCTTCAGTTCCCAAGAAAATGCACCTTAGTAGATAAGTGTTTTTGGAATCGTTATGCTGGACAAATACTCTACTATCTGTAGTCTGTATTTCTGTTCAAAGTGTAGGTAGCGGCCTTGTAGCAGGCTGATCCCCCACCCAAGGAGTCCTGTTGACTGTCCATATGGTTAAGAAACTGTAAAACAGAGGTCAAGGTTCAGCATGGCCTGTAACACCCACAGATTATTATTATTACATAAACTAATTATTAGGATATGTCATAATGGTTGTGGATTTGTTGGCTCATAATGTCATTATATTACCATAAATCCTGTACCAAAAATAAAACAAAAAACCAAAGCAAGTGTAATTAGATATGTTTCAGATGTACATGCCATTGTATCCCGTTATTTTATTGGTTATGGTCCCCGTTTTTAAATGAACACTAATTGAAACTCTTCTTTCAGCAAATTATATGTTATAGCAAGCAGTCATCATGCAATATGTTTATCTTTTTCCATGGCTTGACACAAGATTTATGTTATCATCCTTCAAGTAACTCTTCCACAGATTTTTTCGCCAGTCGAGTGGAAGAGTGAAAAGCTCCTTGTGGCAGCTGTTTTTTTTTTTGTACATATTCATACCTGTGGCTCATTTTTGAAGCCCATATGTCAACAAATCACAAACAAGACTCACTCAGATCATTGCAGATGCTGGAAGTGGTTTCTGTTGTTATGCACATTTTCCTCAGCTTCTGTAAAATGTTCGCATTCATGCATGGAAGTTCCATCACAGAAACCGAACAGACTTGAAATCTGAAAGCTTAAACCCTGGTCCCCTGTGCAAAGCACCTAACGAATTTCAAGGGGAATGTTCAAGCCTAGCACTGATTTAATCGAATTTCTCTTTAGTGAGCATTGAATTTTTTTTTTTTTTTTAATTCAGTAGTGGCCCTTTCTGTCATAATTTATTTGCAATTATATGGGTAGTTATTTCCTGAAATTTACAGTCGCATAGGTGTCATACCTGTGCATGAACATTTATTGCTTCAGTGAGAAACTCTCACATGACACTTTGACACAGGAAATACAATCAAGACATCGACTGTTTGCGTTATCAAATACAGTAGCAGTTATAACATGAGGCTTGGGATTTATGAGTGGGCTGGTACATGCTGCATAATCATACTTCATGCTAGCTGTTCAGTGATTTGTTTGGGTGATATCGATGAGAAGTTGTAATGTGTATTGACAGTTGTGTGAAAGTGTGTGAACCAGTCTGTTGTTCCCAACACAGATTTGATATGCCTTTTGTGTTTCATCCATGTGTGCTACATTGCATGCTTGTCCCAGTCTTCTCAGTTTTACACAATTCACAGTCATCACTCTCTTGTGTATGTTACTTTGAATTATGAATAGTATTTCAGGAATGAATATTTAAGTTATTTTCAGTCTTTAGTTTTCTATTACAATTTCAGTATCATTAGCAGAGTTATAATCTGCTAGAAACCATGCTATAGCTCAGGCAATTAGGCATTGGCTTCTGACTGTGTAAACCTGGATTCAGACTGAGATAAGTTAACTTATAATTTGCCAGACTGATCATAGTGTACTTAGATTATCTCGTAACTGTGCTTTTCTGCGTTTTCAATTTTTAGTGGACTCAGATGATGCATTGTTCTTACTTGCCACCTGCTACTACCGGTCAGGAAAGCCAGGGCAAGCTTATTCCATTCTGCGCAACAAGGGCACCAGTTCACCACAGTGCAGATACCTCCTGGCCAGGTGCTGTCTGGATCTGCAGAAGTAAGCACACCTCCAAGTTTTAAATTTCTGGTTTGTAAACCTTCAAACAAAAGTAATCAGTTTCGGCCCACAGCTTATCTACATATGTAATTCATGCCTGTCAGAATTGTATGTGCCTTGGGCCAGTTTTATAATTTGCATCAGAGTAGGAGGAGAAGAAGAGATTGACAGAATACAATATTTTCCATATTATGGTATGTGATAAGTTGCTTGCAGCTGATTAATTTATACTGTTTAACATTTAAACTAAGTAGTGAATGCCCAGTGACAATTGAACAATAAAATGTAACAGTTGCCACTTCTATCTATGGTTTCCACAGAAAATCAATCATGTGATCCACTCTTACACATTATAGAACTTTGGAACTAGAGTTTTCCTAAATATGCATTCTACGAATTTCAAAAGTTGCTGCGCAGACAGCTTGATAGAACAGTCATACCTCAGACTAGCAGCTTAATGCATTTCCCAAAATGAGTCATAGTCAAGTTCATTGTAGCATGGAATGTCTAGGCTTATGTACCTTGAGAGTAAGTCTCATACCCATTTTCAGTAATTTAACCCAAATTATGCAATCATTCTATTGTTTTTAATTATGAAATATATGAAAGGACATCAGATAACATTTCTACTATTAAAAGTGTCAGAAATACATTAATTGGTATTTTACCATGGATTGTGAAAAAGTACAGTTCATGCCACCAGAGCATTACATTATGGACTGTTAAGAGTTATTATTTGAGCTACCAAACCATTTACAAACTTTGCAGACAACTAAATTAATGTTTTATGAAAATCCAACATACACAGCACATCACTGAATTCGGATAGGAGAGCTCTGGTTATGGAAGATTTTGGAAGAGACTCGTCTTGACAGAGGATAGCAAAAGAGTGGTTGCTGTGCTCTTGAGCTTTCTAGAGAAGCTGTCCAGGGTCTGAAATTTTCTTTTGAGTTGTAAGTCCAAAAATTTGGAGCATAAGTCTAATGGGCATTAGTATAATTGGATTGTAACCAACTGAGATTAGTTTTGCATTTGGTTTCCATGTAATTGACATACCAGCAAACGTCATGTCAAACACTGCCCACCTTAGACTATTTATGTGGAACTTTGTATGGCTCTACAAACATACACAAGAGAAGGTTTCCAAGGCAATGAAATTATATTTTTGGAAGATATGACAACCCGTAAGTTTCTGCAGATATGCTAAAATATGTAATTTCAGCACAAGAATTACAGAATTTTTTTGTACCTATGAGAGAAGTACCAGAGTGCTACAGGCTGCATGTGTCACATCTCTGATGTAATTCTTCGGGGTTGTTCTCTTTATGATATAATTCCAAATTGGTAATTTTGCAAACTCTATCAGTGTTAAGTTCTGGTTCCTTCATGTCACCATGGCTGCTGTAAGTACTGATTGCTTCTTTTGTTTTATTTGTTTCATAACCAGATGTTTTAAGAAGTGTGGAGTTTTAAATTAATTTATCCAGATGTCCAAAGATATTGGTATGTGACCTATGTCTTAAGGCCAAACAAATGTAAGATGTACATGCTTACTGTTTTATGCTCACTTCCATGTACACATATGCAGTGACACCAGTTAAGGGGTTCAAGCTTGGTAGTGTCTCAGTTACTTAATCCATTGCAGTTTGAGCTGAATTATGTGTCACTATATTGATTGGCTATGAGCTGGATGACTGGGATTAGATTCCTGGCAGGGACAGATATTTTTTCTTTTTGCCGCAGCATCCAGATGTTCTGGGACCCACGCAGCCTCCTGTCCGTGGCTCCTTTCTTGAAGGCAGAATGGCCAAATGTGAAGCTGACAGCTCTCAGCTGGTGTCAAGTTTTAATATATGCAGACAACCCCCCCCCCCATACATCTCAGAGGTGTGGTGGTTAATTAAGCACAGAGACAACTTTACCTTCTTGCCATAACATTTTCTCTCATTGATCATTTACCTGTGCTATGACCAGACTCATATCTGACTAAGGTCAGATAGTAACACAAAAAACAAACAAAAACAAACTCCATGGCTTGTAGTCCACAAAGGAACTGTACCAACCAGGTGACTGCTGCTTGTCAGTGAAGTTAGTTACAACTTTTGTGGATAGAGGGTGTCTCATGGTCTGTGCAATGGATCTCCACGGCCGTTAATCTCTGTTTTCTAGACCAGAGCAGCTATTTCCTTGAAATAGCCCTCATTTATTCTCACAAGGCTGAGTGGACCCTGCCCCAGACCCACTCCTCAGAAAATTTGGTGGCGCTGGGAATCGAACCCGGGACCTCTGGATTTGTAGCCAGGAACTCTGACCACTAGACCACAGAGGCATTCCAAATAGTAACACACCATGACAAAAAAACAATATTTCTCTTTCAGAATGTACATTGAGTACAGTTTTGTCCTCTGTTGTTAAATGGTGCATCTATCACTTTTCTAACATTCCTTGAATGTGAGTAGATTGTATACCATTCATTCCTTTACTGTGAAATACTTCAAACAACTGGTGCACTCTGAAAAGTGGCTGTTTGACAGGTTCCTAACAGCAGAGCTATTGTAAGTGAAAGTGTTAAAAGTCTTAACCAGTAGAATTTATGTAACGTTTCCTTCTCTTTCTCCATAGATTGCATTATTTCTGTTCATAGGTTGAGTGAAGCTGAGTCAGTTCTTACGGGTGGTGACACGGCTCGATCAAAAAGCTTTGATGAGCTTGTGTCTGAATTTGGTGATCAGGCATGCTTCGCACTACAGATCCTTGCTCGCATCTGCTCACAAACTGAGAGGCGCAGCAAGGCAGCAGAAGCATATGTGCAATCTCTGAAGTTAAATCCTTTCCTGTGGCATTCATTTGAGGAACTATGTAACCGTGGTGAGAAACCAGATCCTTTACGGACATTCCAAGTGTCACACTTAGAGAACTTCTCAATGTGTCATGGAAACAATCCAGTGGTGAATTTTGTTAATAGTTGTGAACACAGTAGCTGCAGTAGCATCACTAACAGCAGTGCAAATACCAATGAAGCAACAGTTTTGAACACCATTAGCAGGTACAGTCTCAGTATTTTGTTATTATTACCATACCATAGCGATATGATTCCAGATGGATACAGAGAATGAATCTTGAGATATATGCTTAAAAGCTTAAGCCGTACGTTTCCAAAGTTGTATTACTTAGATATGTGCCGGTATCAGATGCTGAGCAGTGTAAAGTACATCACTGCTTTCAGAGTTTACACAAAAACCATTATCAGTTTGTGGTTTTGTAAGTTCAGTACCATCATAATGGTGCAGCCCTACTCCACTTTACATCAAACAGATGTCACATAATTGCACTTATTCATCATTCTTTTACACAACTGTAAAGTGAAAACATCACATTCTTGCATTGTGAATGTATGTCTACATATACAAGCCACATGTTTAGAGTTCATAGTTCGAAGACAAAATAGCACCCTAAAGAAATGACTGTTTGGTCTGATGATGAAGTAACCAAACATATTAGATTGTCTGCATATTTTATGGTGTGAAGACCGGGATCCATCAGAATTGCTCCTGCAGGGATGATACAATCTTGAACGGAGTATTATTGCCGATTTTTTTTTATTCAGGCTCTGGGCTGAAAGCAGGAGTAGACTTACCTTCACAGAATGAGCTTATGTTTGAATACTGAGTCAGTTATGCTGTGGTTCTGAAGATATGATCTGCATGCATGCAAGAATGCAGCTTCTGGCCACGAAGTGCCACAAAGTCCATTCGCTGCAAACCCAGGCATATCACATTGTCCAGTAATCAATGTGTATCTAGTATGTTTGAAGCTTATTAAACTTTTATGACAAATAATATCAAAGCTACAATAAAATGGAGACAAATTGATATACAAGATGACAAATTGTGACTGCAAATGGTGCGTCAAGCTACTTACGGTGTATAAAGTCGAAACCTGTCATTTCTGAAGCCAAAATGCTCCTGGCCCTAGTTTTCTTTCTTTCTTTATTTGGAACCCTAGATGTTTTCATGATTGAACCATGAATGCCTTTTATGGTTCCCACCATTCCTCATCTGTCAACATGTCTCACACAAAACTTCCTACTATTCTAGCCATGCTCAATTTCAGCAAAATACCATGTGCAACACTGTAGGAAATGCATTTCTTTATTATTTTGTAACAATATTTTGGGTACCCTTGCACTTGTATATTATTTGGAACTATTCTTCATCTTCAACCAGGAGGTGTGTCATGCTGTGGTGACAAGCCACCCAGATGACAGTGCCAGAATTACATGGGTAAATAAAATTAATGTTCCACATGGATGATTAGGAATTGTATAACATCAGTCAGAATCACTGAGATAGTAATCATCATTGTAGTGCCAATTTGCATCTTGGGTTCCATTCCATTCCTTGTATTGGAGGCCTGTTGTTGTTTCCTCAAGATTTTATACATGGAGGAAACAAGAATCATTCAAAATTTTGTAAGATTTGAGGTTTTCACGGCAGTGACTATGAAGAAAGCAGTCTTCTGGGATGTGGCACTGTGTAGATGTGGTGTTAACCGACGTTTCAGAGGAATGTATCACCTCCATCTTCAGGGTAGAAGGAAAAATAAGAAAATCTGCAAGCAAAGAGACCGTGAGAACCAGTACAAGCAGACTGGTGTTGGAAATAAACACAGCTATGTGAGAGCAGTGAAGGAATGGTGGGACAAGTCTACATGGGAAATCAGTGGCGTGGGAGGGGGGAAGGGGCTGGGACAGAAGCAGGATTTTGTATATGATATTGTCAACTGTCAGCCCAACATGAGCCGGCCTGAAGATAAACCGGGCTCAGTCGCCTTCCTTCCCTGTGTCGGGACTACCCATATTCAACCGTATCAGCAGAGTGCTGTCCCGGCACAACATCAAATCAGTGGGTCTGCCTCCAAAGAAATTATCCAGTTTCCTCTGGCTGGTCAAAGATAGCCTGGGACTAAGGACACCGGGTGTACACAGTATCCCATGCAAGTGCGGCAAGATCTATATTGGGCAGGCGGGCCGCTCCGTGGACATGAGGTTGAAGGAGCATCAGCGGCACATCCATTTTGAACATCCGGACAAGTCAGCTGTAGCTGAACACAGCATCGATTTGGGACACTGCATTCAGCTTCAGAATACCTCCATCCTTGTCACCAAGACCTGATATATGGATCGCATCATTAGGGAAGCCATTGAGTTTGAACTCCATCCCAACAATATGAACAGAGAGGTGGGATTTTGTCTCAGAAAGTCATGGAAGCCTCTCATCTGTTCCCTAAAAACCCCCTGGGACATGACACCAGATCCACAAGGCTACACAGGCTATGACCCACTAACATAGCAACCCCCCCAGCTTAAGGGTTAGTGCCCTCCCTTTAACCTTGCCTTTCTCTCCCCCGACACAGTACCATATACAAAACCCTGCTTCTGTCCCAACCTCTTCCCCCCTCCCACTCCATTGATTTCCCATGTAGACTTGCCCCACCCTTCCTTCACTGCTCTCACATAGCTTGCAGATTTTCTTATTGTTCCTTCTACCCTGAAGATGGAGGCGATACGTTCCTCCGAAACGTCGGTTAACTTCACATCTACATGGTGCCACATCCCAGAAGACTGCTTTCTTCATTCAAAATTTTGATTAGAAAACATCGTGAGAGGAAACCATGTTGCACAGAAGTGGAAATTATGTTCAAATGAATCCTGGAGTTATAGATTATGAAAATGTGAGCTTAATTGAACTATTACAAGACAGGATACACTGATGAGTTTTAAAATTTAACACCTCAGTATTTCTAGGCATGTGTGTTGGGTATCACCACAATGCCATCATCAGCAGTTGACGGCAGCTGCAAATATAAAAATTTATATGTTTTCTTGACAGCACACCAATCCAACTGCTCAACTGCTTTAACACAGCGCCACCAAGTGTTCGGGTGTTCACTCCAGAAGAGAGTTCTTTAGCCAATCCCTTGAATGCTGGTCATTCCGGCATTGCTCCTCTGCCTTCTACAAGGGGGAAATCTGTTCGTTTCCGTAGTATATTTTCTGGCGGTATTAGTCCTGTGACACCAAGGTATGGATAATGAGATTCAAGCATTATGTTTATGCTTGTTGCTGTTCAGAATAATGTTTATGCTCTATTTTATCTGTCACATTGTCATATTTGTGATTGGCCCAACTTATTTTCTTCATCAATAATTTGTTTATGTTACATAGTTTTGGAGTTCAGCCATTGGATAGTCCTAGTTACTGTGACTCTCTCCAAATGGCATACCTATCACCCACGCTTGTGCCATCGACAACATTGACTGAGGCCAATGACCAGAAGAGTCTCGCTAAGCGGGTGAGCAGTCTACGCGCACATGTAGGGGTACGTGTGACTGAGCCGACCCCATAGCTAGTTTCCAGTTCCCAAAATCTTATCCACTGTATTTTTTCTGAAGTTCTGTATTGTGGAACCCTGTTTAATATTTGCCTAGGGACAACCTTCTTGTGTGTTATATAAAGAAAAACCTTGCGTGGGGGTGTTTTATAAAAATTAGATGTAGAGAGGTTTGTTTTACACAACAAGAAACTTGTGATTTGTACTTGTCACGTATAATTCTGGGATAGTGTAATAAAGAAGATTGAACTTATCTGGTTATTTAGCTCAGATAGATGAGACAAGAAATACAGTCAACTCTCGATTATCGGGAGGCGGATTAACCGGTTTGATGCTTAACCGGGGCTACTGAGGCTTTTTTGAGGCTTATATGTTGTTTAATATTCATTCACTTTTGTTTCACATGGTGAGTTGTAACACTATTTTCACACTAGTGTGAACCGAGCTCTGCATTCTTTGGTCCCATTATGCTAACACAATGTTCTAGAATGCAAGAATTTGTGGAAAGTTTCAAGGACAGATACACTGCCCCAGTGGGTCTCTTTGTATTGATCTTCAAGTGCGTTAGCAAAATGTCAGGGTGTAAAAGGAAGTGTGTTGTGTTAAGTATTCAACAGAAACTCGCGTGAGCCGGGCTTCGAAATGTGAAGCAGTGACAAAACCGTAAGTTCAGTGGGGGTGCAGCCAGAAGAGCAGGAAGAAAGTGAGAATGAGGAAGAGGTGGCCAGTGCTGTTAGTAAGAAAATATCACATGGTGCTGCTCTTAATCATTTGGAATCCTTACTAGACTATCTTGAGAGTGAAGAGAACAGTTTATTAAGTGACAAGCTAACATTACATAGGCTTCGTACGGATATCCGTAAAAAGGAAAATGCCGCAAAAAAGCAAACGACAATATTAATTTTTTTTAAGTGTTAAGTGTGAATATTCGTAAAAAGTGTTGGATGTTGTTGAACACTGTGATTGAAATAATATTCAAGTGTTGGATGTTGTTGAACACTGTGATTGAAATAACTAAATCACACTTCAGTATAATGTAAAAAAAGGTATTAAATAGGCTGTGAGACGACATAAAAATGAGGTTGAGTAAATTTAAATACAGGTAGGCCTATAGTATTATGAAGGTACAGTATTACAGTACTACTTTTAATAACGTTTGTCTTAACCGGGTTTTCGATTAATCGTGATTTCCATGCCCACCATTATCTCGGATAATCGAGAGTTGACTGTACATACTGGATTTTGGTGGGGAAACATGTTTGAAAACACCATCTGAAAATCTGAGGAAGTTAACATCAAATGGATTTCATGGAAATGTGTTGTGAGGTGGTAAAACTGGCTCAGGATCATATCAGATTGTGGATTTTGCTATTAGCCTTGTAAAATCTTGAAACTGTACTGCTAGATGTATGGATTTGTGGATTAGATTGTTGGATGGATAGGTAGAACAAAGGCTAGAAGAATATGCTGAAATGTTAGGTCTTGAGGATATGCAGCAGCTTTTCATAGAGGAGGAAGTAGCAGGTGGCTGGAAAGAATTGTATGTTAGAATCTTCATAATTTGCATGAGAACGAGGTAGGCAGGACATGTAAATTGAATGGAGAGATTAGAAATGCATACAATTTTTTTTTTAATCAGTAATCTTGAAAGGAGGAGGCCACTTCACATATCTAGGTGTATGACATTTGCCTGAGGAGAGGGATCAGTTACAGGAGCTTGCGAACATGGTAGTGAACCCTCAGATTCCATAAAATAGGAGGAATTTCAGAGTGACTGGTAGCATCTCAAGGAGAACTGCTATGTGGAGTTAGATTAGTTGAATAATCACCACCTCCTACATGCCATCCAGTGAAACTATTGCTTTGAAGTTGAATAATGGCCCTGACAAATATAAGAGAACTTTTCACCACTTGTTTTCATTTCAAATAGTACAAGTATGGAATAGATGCTACATGAGATGATCAAATTTTGTGGCTCATTATTTTCACATTTTTCACCACGACCTTGGTGTATGTTGTTCCACAAACTGCAATAGTAAACTATAAACTTAGGAGTAATTGTAGAATATGATAGGGGACTCTTAAATCAGGGTTCCTCTGTGCTTTGAAATATTCATAGTACAATGTATGCATTGCAAAATGAACTGATATATTATGACAGAAGTCAGAAGTATGTATATATAATTACCGGTTCTGTGATTGAAATTTTATTCCACAGTCTTCCTCAAACAGTGATTCATGAATCCCTTGCCGTGACTATAAATCTTTCAAGGGTTATTCCTGACAAAATAATATTAGTAACAACATGTTTATTTATGGAAATAAAAGTTACAAAAAATTGTAGTGGTAATTTTCAATGTAGTTCAAGAATATACATATAAATGCACATGCACAAAGAGAGAGAGAGACAGAAAATCAACCAGAATGATTGTTGTACATAGCTGAGATGTCTTGTTAAGCTGGCTTTCTTTTAGAAGGGGAAGTATTTATTAAACATCATGAGAAAATTGAGTGGCATGAACATGAGCCAGGTTAATTGATTTAAAAAATGAAGGTGAATGGGTGAAAGATATTCCTGGGGGAAAATCATGATTTTTGGGGGAGGGGGTACAGAGTTATGGGAACAGCTAGTATACCAGCATATTATTTGACAGCTCACAAATTATACATATTTTCAGCAAAAATATGTAAATAATAATACTCCAATTATTTTGCCTGTAGCAATTGATTAGTCGTAAGGAAACACCTCTGCAACAGAGCAAGCCAGTATTCAGCCAGACTAGTAACACTAGCAACACATCAAACATTGTACCAACACCAAGTCCCACAACACCGCAGGCTCCTCTCCAACCTGGGTCAGTTCGGAGAAGCTCCCGGCTCTTTAGCAACAGCTACTCTGTAAAGGTTAGTGTTTCATCCTTTAGGTTATTGTTGAGAAGGTAGCTATGATCATAACATTTTGGACTTTCATTTCACTGATGTCAATTGCTGTTATCAATTCTTATGCTGCATTAATTATTATCATTATTCTTGATATCAGTATAGTGAACCAAATGCTTTGTGAATTTAATTTCTTGTGATTATTGACACAAGTTATGGTGTGAGCATCTGGTCTGTGATAACTGACAGTTTTTATAAATGTAATTGACTTTTATATTAGAATATACAGTAGAACTTGGTTATAACGTCATCAAAGGGACCTAAAAATAGTGTCGTTATAAACAAATGTCGTTGTAACCGAAATGGGCACTTCCACAGTAGCCTTATGTTAGTCACGTAAAAATCTACCAAAAACAGAGTTAAAATGTTGCATTTTTTAGTGAAATACATAGTTAAGTACAGACTAACGTAACATTAACGTGGAATTGCCCAAATGTGTAATATCAAAGACATATTACAGCGCTTTTCACTGACAATAAACACAATATTTCACGAATCACTTTAACTTTCTCTTCAATGCTTAAAACTTTCCTTTTCATTGCCATGTTTTCGCTACNAAATTCAGGAATGTAAATGACGTTACATACGAGGTTGATGCATTTGTGCATGTCGTACTAAGCAAGGTATAAAAACAGTTGCTTTATGAGGAATTAGTTCGTACCATTGAATATTTGACGCAATAGACAAGGTGTCGCAGAAACCGATGTTGCTGTAACCAAGTTTTACCGTATTTCTCCTTCATAAGACTTCCTGAGTTACAGACAATTATAAGAACTGACTTGTTCAAAATTGGAATTTGGGAAATTATTTGTTCTGTAGATGATTGTGTTTTGTTTATTGCAGGAAAATAACAAAAGTCCAAATAGGAATAAATTTGTAACACCAAAGTCACCTTCTGGTAAAACTAAATCTCGCATCTCCAAGGCAAATCGAAACAAAACGAGCTTCAGTGAATTGAATGAGAGAAATCGAAGTGAAAAGGAGAAAACTGAAACTATAACTTCATCAGACTTGAAGATCATTAGTAATAATGGTGGTTCAGTGCTTAATCCAATAATGCAAGCACTGCAGATGCAGAAACAGTCTTCAGGTTAGTAACCAACTTACTGCCTGCCCAGGACTAGTTGGATAGGTTTCAGTAGTATTTAGCAAATTTAATGCCAACTTTGCAGTTGTCCTGAGAGAGGTGTTCTAGTGATGCAATCATCGGAGACTGGAAGCAAGAGGGACGCTTGGTATTCTGATTCCTTCATGCTTGTGAATGGTATATGATGAAAATAGTAAATTAATGATTATTAGTTATGCCAGAGAAACTAATAATTGTGTGGAATGGTATTTCTATGGCCATTGTGCAAGGCTGGATTAAAACATTCTGTGGAATTGTAACCTAAAAGAGATTGAGAGATGAAAGAAAACAGTTCTCTTCTTGTAAGATTTGAGGCTTTCACGGCGGTGACTATGAAGAAAGCAGTCTTCTGGGATTTGGCACCGTGTATATGTGGTGTTAACCGATGTTTCGGAGGAACGTATCGCCTCCATCTTCAGGGTAGAAGAAAAAATATAAGAATTCTGCAAGCGGAGAGACCGTGAGAACCGGTAAAAGCAGACCGGTCTGCGATACGTTCCTCCGAAACATCGGTTAACACTACATATACACGGTGCCAAATCCCAGAAGACTGCTTTCTTCTCAGTTCTCTTCTTGTTGGCAAGTTATATCAAAAACTTGTATGGACAGGTAAGAAAGTAATTTTTTCTTACAATTTTCCACTGTGAAGGGTGGATGATAAGTGTAATAAATTTTCAGGTCAGGAATGTAAAATAATCCACCGTTACATGATATCATTGTTTGCACCTCAGAGTTTTTGGTTCTCTTGCAGAAGGGTTGATGGCCTTACTTCGGGAATTGGGCACTGCGTACCTTCATTTATCTCAGTTCAATTGCCGGAAAGCCATAGACTGCCTAAACAATCTCCCACCACAGCATTACAGCACAGGTTGGGTCCTCTCACTGCTCGGGAAGGCCTATTACGAGTTGACAGATTACCAGCAGGCTGTCAGGTAACTGGAGATCTATGCCAACTTGAAGCCATAACTGGTATGACAAGTTACCTTAAATATGCCCCACCTCATTTGAACAAAATCTTGTATATGAACCATAATATTGTTATATCTTGCCCGTTCATCTGCATTTTTCTTCTCCGAAATGTTTCAGATGATTATGGTGGTGACCTGCTAGCTTGTACTGTATGTGGTGCTTAAGTTGGCCATTATCAGATTCATCAAAAATGTCTTTTTGTACCACAATTTTTAATGAAATAATATGAATTTCTGTAACTCTGCAATATAATATCTATGCTATTGATCAGCTTCCTTAACAATAAATTTTTATCTTAAATGTATAGACAAGCAGGAATGAGGGATGCTGCATTATATGAATGTATTGTGATACTCTCTGTTCCAGACCAGAGAACACCTTACCACTGAGTGATAAAGTTTCCTCTGTGCTCAAGTATCAAATCATATGGACATAGAAGAGACATTCTTAACCTTGGCACTTCTCCTCATCCTTCCCCCCACCCCACCCCCACTTGGAGCATAGGGAATCCATGAAATGCTTCATTTCACTTCAGTGTTTTAATTTTAGACAGTCAGTAGGACTCCTTGGGCAGGGGGTCAGCCCATCGCTAGGCCACTACCTAAAGTAAATACAGACATCCATGCCTTGAGTGGAATTCCTTAGAATGCCTTAGACCACATGGCCACTGTGATCATCAACACTGGCACTAGATAGAGATTAGTGTTCAGCTTTATCCTCTAGCCACTTCAGTCACTTAGAAGGAACACCCATACTCATTTGGTAGAGCCCTGACTTAAGATGAGGAAAGTCCCTAACCCTGCTGGAAATTGTACCCTGGTTGTCCAGCTTATAACCACTCACTTTACTGACTGAGCATCTTTTCATCAAAATTTAGTTCAGTTGTTTTCTATACAGTTCATACTATGAATTTAGAAACATTGTAGAGAAGCTGTGGCTCAGATACAGTGGGCTTTCTCAGTAAAATGAACTGTTATTTTGTGGAGAGATACTTCACATCACGCATTTGGAAACCTTACATACCACAGCTTCTGTTGTTATCTGTGTAGAGCTGCTTTATCTCTGGTAACTTTTGAATTCTGCCTTGTTATTAGGGTTCAGTAAGATAAATTATTGTTTTCTGGATAGATACTTCAGTGAGGTGCGGGAGCGGGAACCCTATAGATTGCAGCTGATGGAACTGTACAGCACAGCACTGTGGCAACTGCAGAAAGAAGTGACATTGTCTACTCTGGCACAGGACCTTGTGGCACAGGATCGTTTGTCTCCTGCTGCTTGGTGTGCCACAGGAAACTGCTTCAGTCTCCAGAAGGAGCACGATACTGCCATCAAGTTCTTCCAGAGGGCTGTACAGGTATATAGACAAAGGACTAAAATACAGATCAGGATATTTAAAACATTAATTTTTGACACCAGCAGAAGATGTTTTAATTTGACCATAATTGAAGGTTATAGTTTAGCCTCCTGTTGCACTGATTTATTCTGACCATCTTAACATTTTTAATATTTAAAATTTAGCAATATATATGACGAATATATATTTTAGTTATTTTAGTATAAAGACAACAGGGTATGCAATGCAGTAGTTCGACATACTTTGAAAAGCACCTGAAGATGGCACTTTAGTGCTGAAACATGTAGTGCAAGAGAGAAGAGTAAGGTGAATAAATGTATGCACTGTAAGACGGTCAGAATAAATCATGGACATAATTGAAGGTGTTGTACCACATGAATGGGAATATGGAAGTTGTCTGTTATGCCTCAGAGGTTACAATATGATTATAAGTCTTGGTATTTACTTTTATTGATTGGCATTTCAGGTGGATCCTACATTTGTATATGCATACACCCTCTTGGGGCATGAATATGTCACGACAGAAGAGCTGGACAAAGCAATGAGCTGTTTTAGAAGTGCAGTGAGGATAGATGCAAGACACTACAATGCCTGGTGAGTGATGATACATGTGCTGTAGAAGGTTCTCTCTCTCAACACAGTGGATCATGATGAAAAGAAGACCAAATAACATAAAAGTCTTAGTGAGATTGTGGAGACTGGGGCTAAAGTGATTAGAGAGTGAAGCTAATTACCTCTGTCTATTACTGAAGCCTAGAATGCCAGGAGACTGGCCCTCTACCGCCCATATTTCATAATATGGGGCTTTGTTTTTACAATTGGAACATACAGGGGGTGGACAAAATAATGGAAACACTAAGAAATTGAATAATAAAATTTGTTTGTATGTTTACATTGAAAGAACTTCAGTTGGCAACACTGAATGTTCTCTATTACGCTCTATAATGCTTGTGTCAGTGCATTATCAGTCGTGTTGACTGACAGTGTATGCGAAAGAATAAGAATATTGGAGACTTGTCCGATTTTGGAAGAGGACAGATTGTTGGTGAGTGTTTAGCTGGACTATCTGTGACAAAGACCGCCATGTTATTAGGTATATCGAGAGCAGCAGTTTCTAAGGTTATGTTGGCATACATGAATAATGGGAAGACAACATCAGAGAAAGAGAAACAGTGGGTGAAGATTAGCAATGACAGAAAGAGATCATCGTACATTGAGGAGGATTGTTTACAAAAATCAGCCATCATGGCCAAATTACTCCAAGGGAGTATGTAGGTAGGTTGGGTAATCAGGTGCATCCCATGATCCAGTTGTTATTTCCGAACAATGAGGCAGTTTCCCAAGAAGACAATGCCTCCATTCACACAGCAGGAACTGTGGTTTGAGAAGCATGAAGGTGAACATCAATGTCTTCCAGGATCAGCACAATCACCAGATTTGAACATCACTGAACAACTCTGGCCAGTTTTGGAGACTAGACCGAGGAACAGATTCCCACCTTCAACATCTCTAAAGCAACTTGAACACGTTCTTCAAGAAGAATGGTATAAAATTCTGCTAGAGTGTGTTCAAAACTTGTACAAGTCCATTCCAATGATTGCAGCTGTACTGAAGGCAGAAGGTGGTCCACCACCATATGAATAAAGAAATGTGTACAGTAGCTGCAGTGTTTCCATTATTTATCCAGCCCTGTACATTTTGTGGTACATACACATAATGATTTGCTATAGTTAATTTCATCTGTGTTCTTTAATTACATAAATTACTTGAATGATAAGGGGCGCATGGTAGCGTAGTTGGTTGAGGCACTATGCTACAAGCCAGAAGGTCACGGGACCAAATCCCAATGAGGTCATTGAATTGTTTTCAATTTACCTAATCCTTCCAGCCGCATTATGGTCCTGGGGTCGACTCAGACCCTAACGGAAATGAGTACCAGGAATATTCTTGAAATGTTCTTGTGGGTAAAGGGTGGCCGGCACGTAAGGCTGACAGCCTTACTGCTGTCTATGAGCTGATTGTCTAGAAAATGTGGGAACCTCAACATTTCACAACCCACAACTCTTTATTGACCATCACAACACAACAAACAGAAAAAAATCAAGGAAAACGCCCAGCTATGGTTACGCTACATGTTTCAGCCATTAACTAATCTCAGAACCCTATGGGCCTCCACGGCCTGTTACAGGGATACCTTTACTTTACTTTACTTACTTGAATTATATAGCTTTTCCATATAAAAGTAAAGTTTAAAAAAATATTCCAAACATGTAACTGAATGCAGTACGTTCCCAGTTATTTGTATACAGATTATTCACTTTGTGTTTCATTGACACATTTTGTTTCTTCTTTCCTGTTTATAACCTGCTCAGTGTACAGAATATTTTTGTAGCTGCTTTTGTATGTGTGTGCCTGCATGTTCACAGGTATAAGAGAGAGAGATTTGCAGTCCAGCATGTGTTATGATCATTATTCATTATTTGTGTTTCTACTCCCCACCATTGGTCTGTATAAAGTGGCAATATGCTGTATGTGGTTAGATAATTTTACTTGTTAATATCAGCATGATGTGGCTTCAGAAAAATTTGACAAACAATTTGGAATTTTATTTTTCTTATAGGTATGGTATTGGAACTATTTATTCAAAGCAGGAGCGATATTTACTGGCTGAAATACATTTCAAACGGGCTCTTTCTATTAACACCCAAAGCTCAGTTCTTCTATGTCACATAGGAGTGGTAAGTTTGTAGTTATTTAAATTAAATTACAAGAACAAATGCTGAAGTGTGTCCTCTCATAAGAGACAAGATTTTGTTGGAGGTCCTAAGGCATGGCTAAGAATATAATTATGGGATTTCAGGGAGTGTCTGGGTTGTAATGTTCACCTTTTTCCTTGTTTCATAATCTCCATCCTTGTCAGCAAAATATAAGAAGTATAGATGTTTGTGATATTGTTTTTTTAATTGCTAGGTTCAGCATGCATTACAGAAAACAGAAAAGGCATTGCAGACCCTGAATAATGCAATTGCTAATGATCCCAAGAATCCACTATGCAAGTTCCATCGTGCATCTATATACTTCGCAGCAGGCAGACATGCAGAGGCACTTAAAGAACTGGAAGAGCTGAAAGAAATTGTTCCCAAAGAGTCATTAGTTTATTACTTAACAGGAAAAGTAAGTAGAATATCAGTCATTTTGAGGTAATACTTTCCTGTAATAAAAAGATTACTGCATTAGACATTTCAGTTGTTCAAACATCTAAACTAGTATAATATAGTCATTGTATTATTGTAGTCCAGATGAACTCTGTTCACTTACTCCTTATGTGTATTTGGAATCAACTGCACTTTTTTTTCTTTTTATGAAGGTACATAAAAAACTAGGCAACACGCACTTAGCCTTAATGCACTTTAGCTGGGCAACTGATCTCGACCCTAAAGGGGCCAACAGTCAAATCAAGGAGGCCATTGATCCTGCCTTGAACCACAGTCAGGCTGAGGAGGACACATCAACTACACATCCAGGTTTGTAACAAAAGTACTGTAATGCATTTTGAATGCTGAAAAGTCATCAGGCTAATTTTGAACACATATAAATAGTGATGAGCCAGAAGGTTGTGGGTTCAAGTCCTGATGAGGTCATTGAATTTTTTTCAATTGACCTGATCCTTCCAGCCACACTGTGGCCCTGAGGTCGACTCAGCCTCTTAACAGAAATGAGTACCAGAAATCTTCCTGGGGGTAAAGGGCGGCCGGCGCATAGGGCTGACAACCTTGCTGCCATTTATGACCCGATTGTCTAGAAAATGTTGGAACCTCAACATCTCACAACCCTATAGGCCTCCACGGCCTGATACAGGGATACCTTTACTTTTTTTTATATATATAAATACTGATAGGAGCTGGGCTGGACGATCAAGGGGCTGGAGTTTGAATCCCAGCAGGGTCAAGATTTTTCTCTTCTTGGTGTCCAGACCAGCTCTGGGGTTCACCTAGCCTTCTATCCAATGGATATTGGGGGCACTTTCCCCAGGGGTAAAGCAGCTGGGATTTGAAGCTGACAATTCACCTCCAACTAGCACTGAGGTCAAGAAAATGTGGATCTATACATCCACTCCCCATACGTCTTCTTGGCATAGTGCTTAATTAGTTAAGTACAGGGACAACTTTACTATATAAATACTGATGCTTAGATTTTATCGCATGTAGCCTAAATTATTCTATATGAATTCCATATCATGAGAGCCATTTATTGAATGAATGTATAAGGGGTGGGCCTTCTCGGCCCTTGCACCGCGACCTACAATGGTCTGTTGTGCTTCCCCTTTTGATTATCCCCTCAGCAATCCTAAGCATCGAATGAAGCACAGGATTTTGTACGTGGGGGTGTCCATAAAGTATTGATCCAAGTGACATAATCTTAAAGAAGCTAAGGCCTCACATTCACACAGGATGTGTGTGGCTGTTTCAGTTTCTTCTTGACACCTCTCACAAGTGGGACTATCACTTAGTCCCAGTTAGAAGAGGTGTCCTTTAAGGTGACAGTGTCGTGTAAGTAGTCCCACCAACCATAGTAGCTGGTTCCTGTTTAACTTCAACAGTTCCTTCGCTCTTTTAGCAGAGGGTCCTCGTATGAGTCCCTTTGCTTGCCTGAATCCAGTCAAGGATCCCCAGTATTTCTTGTGCTTCATATTTGTCCAGTCCCTGATTGCCTTTCTAGCAACTCCTATAGAGATGCCACAGGCTGGTTCAGGTTCTATGCACGGATGTGCAGCTCAAATCTTAGCTAATTTGTCTGCTGTTTCGTTTCCAGCAATAGCCTCATGCTCTGGCACCCATATCAGTTGTACCCTGTTATGTTTGGCCAGTTCCATGAGGGTTTGGTGGCAATCCCAGACCAATTTTGAGTTGATCTGGTGTTTGTCAAGCACTTTAAGTGCAGCCTAGCTGTCAGATAGAATGTAGATGTTCCTATTTCTGTAATTCCTATCTAAATTCTCCATAATACATGCCATAATGGCATATACTTCTGCCTGGAATACTGTCGTGTACTGCCCAAGGCTGAAACTAAGTTTCTGCTTTGTGCCATAGCAGTACACACCAGCTCCGGTGCCCTTATTTATCTTGGAACCATCTGTATACAAGATCAGTCCCCCTTTTCTCTTGGGCCAAGACCCGTCTTCCCATTCACTCCTGTCAGGAAATCTGATTGTGAAGGGTTTTTCATATACATGTCTCAGTATCATTTTGTCAGACCCCATTTGTAATATAGGTTTTTTTTTTCATGTTTTGAGTTATGTATGCATGTCCAAAACTATCGGATCTAGATTTCCATTGATCACTGCACTGGAGATGGTAGATTCCTGCCCTGGCCTCTGCCTCCAACTGTAGATGCAGTGGGAGGAGTCCAAGGAGTATCTCCAGTGCAGCTGTTGGAGATGTTCGAATTGCTCCTGTGATACCCAAGCAAGCAAACCTTTGCAATTTGCTAAGTTCTGCCTTGCTTGTCCTGAGTTTAACTCTGGGCCACCATACTGTGGCGCTGTATGTAATTATGGGTCTTACAACCGCAGTGTATCCAGTGCACAACGTGCGGCTGCAGTCCCGAAGTTTTAACAAACATGCTTCTGCATGTACAAAAAACCTTATAGGCTTTATTGATGACCTTGTCCAGCTGCTTTTTCCAAGTCAGTCCCTTGTCTACTACTAGACCAAGGTACTTGACATCGCTGGAGAGCTGGATCGTCTTATTGAAGAGGGTCGGTTCCTTAAGGCCCTTTATATTTCTCTTCCTAGTAAACGGTATAATTACCATCTTATTAGGATTGATGGAAAGACTTGTTCTTTCACACCATCATTGGACCATGTACAGAGCTGTTTGAAGACACTCTGATACTGTTGAAAGTAATTTTCCGTTTATGAGGATTGCTATGTCATCAGCATATCCTACTCTATAATACCCATCATCATTAACCTTTATGAGCTGAAGGACACCGTATGGAGACCTTTAAAGTAAAGCCGAGGTGGCCGAAAGACACCATATGGGTATGCGCAGTCCACGCGTGCGCACAGTGTTTTAAAATCTAATTTTAAGATAGAAATTCTTGTTCTACTTACATTATTTTTGGACACCAGCTTTATAAGTAGACTGTCTTCCCTCCTGCATCATCTAACTGAATGTTGCATGTCACTGAATGCAGAGTCCGACATCGCAATTCATGCACTTTGTTCGTAATTAACTCTGTTTTCCACGCGAAGGGCACTCACGCAATGTCAGTCTCGTATTAGCAGGAAGTAGGTCAGTGATGGCGAGTGGTCTCCTGTATTCGTAACGCTTATAAAACATCGCAATTTCAACTATGCACCATGGCCCATTTTCGCATTGAAAAAGCCGAAATTGAGAGGCTGCTTGTAAATCACACCATTCAGAATGCGGTACATAAGACTGAAGCACGTAGAAGAAAGGGGCCATGTGCGGACCTTTCTACGTTATTTTTGGACACCAGCTTTATAAGTAGACTGTCTTCCCTCCTGCATCATCTAACTGAATTTTTCATGTAACTGAATGCAGAGTCCGACGTCGCAATTCATGCACTTTGTCCGTAAACTCTGTTTTCCACGTGAAGCATACACAGGCAACATCATTCTCGTATTAGCAGGTAGTCAGCCAGTGTTGCCGATTTGCCTTCTCTAATCATAACACTTATAAAACATCGCAATTTCAACTATCCCCCATGGTCCCATTTCGCATCGAAGAAGCTGAAGTTAATAGGCAGCTGATAAATGTCACCGATTTAGAATGTGGTACATAAGACTGGAAGTACGTAGAAGAAGGGGCCATGTGCGGGCCTTTCTAAGAAGCATAACACTACTTCTTGTGTGGCAGATACGTGTATACACAGACAGTCTCTGAGGGAGGTGACCTCATTCCTGTATACAGAAAGGTTGGAGTGCTATAAAAGCATAAACATTTCATCCCCTTTTGAAGATAAGCCAGTACCAGTAGGAAAGATGTCAGCAGCAGGCATTTATACTGCAGAAACGTTTTGTGCAGAAACTGACTGCAGTTTTGTGGACGGACGCTCAAAATTGGGAAAAAAAAAATTTTTTGGAATCAGTGTAACAATTTTTACAAATTCTAAAATCTGTAAATTGCAATATCTGATTCTATATTCTTTCTAGATAAAAGCAGTGTTTATTTCAATCGTTTATCACAAAAATTGCAGAAATCACAGCATTTTGAGTAACATGATTACAATTTTTATTACTCTACAATGGTGGGCATTTAAATTAACTCCATCCCGCTGCCACTACCAGAATTTAAATGGCCCATCCCATAAAGGTTAAGTCCCCACAGGAGATCGTTGACGACCAGGCCCCACAGCAGAGGCGAGAGCATGCCCCCCTGTGGACAACCCCTAGACACGGATGCCCCCAGGGTTTCTCCTGATAATGTAACAGCTATGGTTCTTCTTTCCAGCATAGCACTGGTGCACCTGCATATTGCAGACTCCATGCTATGCTTTCCAGCGGCCTGTTTGGTTATATCAAATGAGGCTATTGAAAGCTCCCTCTTTATCAAGGAATGCTCCTAAGGCAATATCCTTGTGTTCAATCACACTTTCTATGTGTGTTACCATGTTGTGTAGTGTGCTTTCAGTAGATTTACCTGTTTGGTAGGCATGCTGGTTTCGGTGTAGAGGATATGTCCTCAACGCCCTGTCCCTGATATGCCTATCCACTATTTTCTTCATCATTTTCAAAAGGAAAGACAAGAGGCTGACTCCTTCGGTGACTAATTCCAGACTTGCTTCTTCTATGGAGGCTAATACCAAACTGTCTTCTTCAGCGGTTATTGGCAGATTCGCTGTTCGAATGCATTCAACCCTGTTTTATAACCTCGGCCGCTGCTATGCAAACGAGCCTTTGTTGTAACCGTGGAAACTCATCTCTATGCAGTGCTCACTGTTAGAATTACTGTATCGCTATTGTTACTTCCTAGGCAACGGCCTGTTCTAGCGTTTCCATGGAAGTAACTCTTCTGGATTCCAAACATGTTACAATATGATTATTAACATATATGCATGATCTCACATTTTCTCCAGGTATGACAGAATAAACTGTTCCCCTGAATTCGTTAAGTCTCTTATTTGGCCCCTATATATCCAAGGTTCCTGAATAAGTGCTACGTCTACTTTTCCTTCAGCAAGTTGTCGACTTAAAATTGCCGTAGCAGCCTTGCTGTGGTGTAGGTTAATTTGAATGAATCGAATGTTGTGTGTAAATGTCGTGTGTATGTATGTGTTGTTGTTCATTGTGTAATGCTGGGAAAGGTGTCCTCTTCCATACCTTCTTCCACAGCACTTTTTCCTTTATCAGACTTGGTTTCCTCTGAGGGAGGTCCTTGATCTGGTAAGGTTGGGTTGATGACAGAAGAGATTGTCTCCTCATCAGATACTCTCTTCCGGTCAACTGAGGACGTGGGTACATCATCCCCCTCCCCCTCAGAGGCAAAGTTGGAAGATACCGTATCTGACACAGGTTCTGTCCAATGCTGAACTGAAGGATCATTCAGCACCTTAACAGTCCCCTGTGAGTCCTGTGAATATTTTGTAACCAATCCTCTGTATAATAGTATAAGAGTCCCAGTCTATGAATAAGATAAGCCTCTGGCCTTTCAACTCAGATTGCTTATCGAGTACCCTCCAGTTCTCAGTATGAAGTCCTGGATTGAGGTCTGCAGTCCATTTCAGCAGTTCTTCCTGATTCTGGGCAACTTTGTCCCTAGTCTGGAGAGCTACTTTAACAGGCTTGGTCAGGTTTTTGGCATCAGTAGCCTTCAGCCTGGGCCCTGATTCCAGCCTGTGGTTGTCAGTGGCTTTGGTGAGCCATTGACCAGACTGTTGGTCGGTGCATGCATAAATAAGTGCACCTCTCACTAGTCTGTAGGATTTCAGGTGTGGTAGTTCTCCCTTTGGAGTCCTATGTAACACCTCCCTCAGTGTTTCCAGAATGGAATTCTGGTCGTCTTCAGTAAGCTTATCCTCAGGATAAGTTTCCTTGAAGATAGCTACCTTTATATTGGTCAGATCCTCCTTGTCATTCCCTTGCCCCTTAGAGTCCCTGGGCCTTTTCAGAGTTCTGGCCGTTTCTGTAGGGGTATTGTCCTCCAACCTTGGCCATTAAAGGTACCAGTGGGGGTTTCTTCCCGCTTGGACAAGCCTGCATTACCTGGTTGCTGACTGTCCCCAGTTCCTACTTTGCTTGCCCCAGCTCTTGCCTTTCTTAACTTCCATCTAGCGCATCCAGACAGGGCTTTCTTCGCTAGACGGGGTCCACCTACTCCAAAGACTAGGTGTCCCAATCCTTCTCCTGCTGCAGGTGTGCTAGAGGTACTAGCCCCCTGCTGTGATATGTCAGTACTACTGTCTCCCAAGAGAGGAGTCCTCAGGTAGGTTTTGAACCACTGGTTCATGCCTGCCTTTGGCTGAAAGTTCAACAGCAGGTTCGCTGGTTGCAGCCGGGTCCAGCCCCCTGCTGAAGCATTTCTCATAGGGATCCCTTTGGAGGGGGGGTCCCTCTTCAGTTTAAGGTCCTTACAACCAGTTTTTGATTTGGTTCCTTTATTCATTTCGGTCCCACGAGACATGGGGATTTAAAAGGTCACCACCTGCAGCACCCCATACGGGTGGAAGACATAAATACAATGGGGTGCTGCCTGGTGCCCCGAGGGGATCGTTCAAGACACTGGCTAATTACCACCCCAGTGCCATGCAGCCCTCAGCATGATGCCTCACACCTTGACTTAGGTGGATTGGTCCTGTTGTGAATGAAATCCTCACAAGCCTCTAGGACCAAGAGACCAAGGGTGCCTGTTCAGGGGTAGAGGGGTATCCCAGATGATTAATGGAAGTGCGACACCAGTTGGTCATGAGGTTTCGACCAGGGCAACCTGCATGAGAGAGTCACCCCTGGGGGTGGCCTATGAGCTCACCCTTCCACATGGGTTAGTCAAACCGTTTTAGAGTGTTGAGCCTGAAGGCTTGCGGCACCTTATCGGTACTCTATGGAGACAACTCAAATAGCCGAAGCTACCCCCATGGGAGTGCTCTCCTGCATTTATCCTGGGTACACCGTAGTGATACCCAAGAGTCATTATGCCACCACATGGGAGGCTCCGATCATAATGCCATTGCCCTTTATGGAAACTTGGCTCCCAGCCCTGGTAGGTCATACTGATCCAGACCCCGATACTGTTGTTGCCCAGAGGGACCACAAGGAGGTGTCCCAATGCATCCCTGGTCCATGATGCATCCCCACCAAAAATACAGCCATGGTTCGGCAAACCTCATTGAGGATGGCATCATTACCACCTGCAACATGTGACATAAGAAAGTCACAGTTACCCTGCCAGCCATTTGTTGACTGACATAAACTGTAAGAACACGTGCTAAACATTGTGCCACATAGGAAATATCCAACTGCTGGCACATAACAGAATAAACGTTAGCATTCTACTTCTCTAACTGCAGGTGTAAATACAGCAAATTGGTAGCTGGATGTATGAAGCTGACAGAAATCCTGAACTTCAGCCATACCTTACAAGCAGAATTATATGTTCAATCAAAACTGTGTACATGAAAGATTCAGATAACCTTCTGTCCAGAACTGATACTGGCTTTTGGTATATTTGATTGTCTCTTAGTAACCGTTATTCTCTAAATATGTCAGGAATAGATGTATGGTGGTTCTTCACCCTCTGGTGGCAGAAAAGAATAAACAGAAGAAACTCTGCAGTATTTACAACAGGCAAAACTTTAAACCACACTGTTGGTTGTGTGTATTGATATAAAATAAAAGGTGAAGCTATCCCTGTAACAGGCCGTGGAGGCCCACAGAGTTGTGAAATGTCGAGGCTCCCACATTTTGTAGACAGTTGGCTCACAGATGGTTGTGAGGTTGTCAGCCTTATATGCCAGCTACACGTTACCCCAGGAAGATTCCTAGTACTCATTTCTGTTGGTGGATGAATCAGCCCCAGGGCTGTAGTGCAGCTGGAAGGATTTGGTCATTTGAAAAATCCAGTGACCTCATCAGGGATCAAACCCATGACCTGCCAGCTTGTAGCATAATATCTCAACCAGCTACACTACCATATGCCCCTGTGTATCAATATATGTGGAAAGAATAGAAAATCATAATGTGTTATAATGCGATTATTTAAATTTTAAAACAGTTTCTGGCATTAATGCAGTTACAGAAAATTTCCTATGCTCATTTCTTTTTACTTTGTTTCATAGAAATAAAAAGAATATTTGGTTTGTCCTGCAGGTGAAGACTATCCTAGTGAAGGCAGTTCAGCCCCACAGCATGAGTCCTCGCAGGAAGGTGCTGAGTTTGTTTCAATGAGGGATGAGAGTGACGAGAGTCTGTAAAATCCCAAGTTCAGTTCTGTAACAAGAGAGACTCTTCATAACATATTTATATGACTGTTTTCCAGCATAATTATAGTTCTTTATTTGTGGAACACAAGGATAGGGTTCTTATCATGAAAGATTGAAAACAAAATTTAGAACATTTGCCTGGCGGGTGAACAAACCTAAGTGAATTTGTACTTAGCCAATAAGCTTCATTATATCAGTCATCAGGCATATATTTAACCCTTTGACATGCTCAGAATACATACATCCAGTGAACTGAATTATAAAAAATAAATGCTCCAGATTATCATAGAAATTATATATTACATTTGTTCTCCAGTAAGAAAATTACTTTGACTTCCCATCATAGCAGCAAATTTCCTACGGCAAACTATGCCAGTGAGTTAATAGGAAGGTGAGGAATGAGGGTTTAATGGTGTCTTCCAACTTTGTATTTGGTTGATGGTCTGACTTTAGTAGATCATCAGTTTCTTAACAGTGTGGGGCTGAAGGGCTCATTTTTGGTTGTGAACAGTGAGACTCCTTGGATGTCAGTATGGATGTTTTCTGGTATCGGTTTGAACGGCAAATACTTCCTCCTGACAGCAGCATTAGCAGGCCTCTAAACCCAAGTTCTTTGTCTTGCAGATTTCCCACTTTTATGGGTTCCCTGTTCTCAGACTGTATACTTGTTGACAGTTCCAGTCTCCTTCCTAAAAATTGTTCCCTCAGATTGTTTTACCATTTTCATGTAACCACCATGTCTTTGGTCTTCTCCTCCTGTCTTCCAGTTGATATCCAGTTAATTAGTTGTTTTGACCATCTGTGTTACTCCATTCTCTCTGTATGTAGATGCCACATTGTGATTTCTGTCTTCTGTACTAGATTGAAAGTCATTTTGCACCCATTTTTATCAAATCACTTTTAAAATATCTCTCTCACAGATTCATATCTGCCAATCTCAGCCAATTCCTTTCTCTCTGGTTAAGTTCCAGCTTTCTACTTTTATGATACTGTATGATGTTTTCATTTCTTCCCTTCTGTATTCCTTTTGATAATTCTTAAAATTCCATTCAACATTTTTTTTAAGTTTGCATCCTGTTGCGTGTATACAATCAACATATACAAATTCCACCATCAACACAACAATTGTTTATTAACATATATAGTACTACATGTTTTGACCTTAACGGGCCATCCTCAGGTGTTGTAAGTCTCGCACACTCAGCTACTGAACTTAACGCTTGTATTCCCATTTATATACATATTCATTTCATTAACTAGATGAGCCCAGACTAGACATTGATTCAAACAGGAATCATACGTTTGATTAAACAGTAAAAATAACAGGTTAAAACTAAATCTAAAATAGATTTTAAATGATTTTTAAAATGTCATGAGCTGTGATGAGCTTTGTGACTGTTGTTGTAGTAGACCATGCATAGGCTTCATCAAATTCTTCTATTATTTGCTGTGTTAAACCGTTGTGTTTCTATTAATATGTTAACTTTTCCTAGAGAGTGAACTACTCCTCTTCCATATTGTCGGATGCCAATTTACGGTTAATGTTATGTTGTTTATTTTATTTTTATTTATATGCTGTGTGGTTTATACTGCTGTAGGTTATTAACTATAAATTGGCATCCGACAATATGGAAGAGGTGGAGTTCATTCTCTAAGAAAAGTTAATATGTTGATAGCAACACAACAGTTTAACACAGCAAATAATAATAGAATAATATGGTGAAGGCTATGCATGGTCTACTAAAACAACAGACACAAAGCTCGTCACAGCTCATGACATTTTAAAAATCAATCTCAGATTTAGTTTTAACCTGTTAGTTTTACTGTTTAATCACATATATGATTCCTGTTTGAATAAGTGTCTAGTCTAGTCTGGTCTAGCTGATGAATTGAATATGTATAGAAAGTAACTTTTTGAACCATATGTATATAAATGTGAACGCGAGCATTGCATTTCAGTGGTTGAGTGTGTGAGACTTGCAGTACCTGAGGATGGCCCGTTTGGGTCGAAACATGTAGTGCTATACATGTTAATAAACAATTGTTGCAGTGACAGTGGAATTTGTATACATTGATTCCATTCAATTTCCTTGTTAATCTCACCTTCTAGTAGAGCTTGACTGATAGTGGTATAAACCTTGCACATAATTATTTCCCTTATGACACTGAAATACAATTGATAGTATCCATTGCACATACAGACTTTCATTTTGTAACATTCTCAAAAAAAAAAATAAATAAAGGTAAAGCTATACCTGTGACAGGCTCTGGAGGCCCATAGGGTCATGAGACTTTGAACCTTTCCATTTTCTAGACAGTCAGCTCACAGATGGTGGTAAGGTTGTCAGCCTTATATGTTGGCTGCCCTTAACCCCAAGGGAGATTCCTGGTGTTCGTTTCTGTTAGAGACTGAGTCGACCCCAGGGCCATAGTGCGGCTGGAAGGATTAGGTCAATTGAAAACTCCAGTTACCTCATCAGGAATCAAACCCATGACCTTCTGGCTTGTAGTGTAGTGCATTAACCACCTATGCTACCACAAGCCCCCGCAGCATTCTCGTGGAATATTTAGTTCTGTTGTATAGAATGCTATGACATAAACTCTGTTTGAACTCCAAAAGTAACTTCTTCCATGATTTAAAATGTCCACTTCACACTACAAATTTCTTGCCACCAAAAATGTTTCTTAGAAAAGTTCTCCTACCAAATTTCATGAGACATATGTTCTTATTATTTGGAAAAATGCACTGCAGTGATCAGTAATGCCTGTAGTAAGCAAGAATGACCTTGCATGACTGCATTAATTTAATTTTGTTGCATGTAGAGTCATTTCAAGCATACAGTTTTTCATCATTTCAATTGACTATTCCTGTATTTTGGAAAATCTGTTCCAGAGGAATGAACCTTCCATATTCATTGTAACGTTAATTTCAGTATTGTATGGAATCTTGTGCATGTACGTACATGATGTTGACATATTTCTGGCCATATGCATTGCCAAATAATTTCTGAACCACAAATTTCATTAAAGAACTTTCTAGAACACTGCAAGTACTACATCATATTTGAACACTGAGCGGACCATATATAAACAACTGTTTGTCTATATATATGATACAGCAAGCATTTAGTTGCTGGTATAAATGAAATAAACTATGGGGTGCAAATTAAATTATTTGTATAAAATTACAAGCAAAAGGAAGTCATAATACAGGGCTACTATAAATGATTCATTCGTGTTTAAAATGCTATATTTTCCAAAGTATTACACATACATATATGATTGATATATAAAAAGAACCGTAAACTTACCAAGTTTGTATTAGGTGCGCCAGTTGGCAGTACGAGTTCAGTGCCTTTACAAAATGGCAACAAAGCAAGAAAAGAGTTTTTGTTTGTTGAAATATGCGAGATGTTCATCTGTTATAGCAGTGCAACACGCACTCAAAAGAGAGTACAGAAAAGAACCGCCATGTAAACAAAGCATTTTGCAGTGGTATCGGCAATTTAAGGACACGCTGGATTGGGCGTGTTGTTGAGGATGACGTAGCTCTGTTCACTTGGCCCCCCAGATCACCTGATCTAACGCCTTGTGACTTCTTCCTTTGGGGGTACATTAAGGATCGTGTTTACGTACCCCCACTGCCAAGAACACTATTAGAGCTGAGGGAATGCATCGATGCTGCAGTGATGACCATTGACAGGATGATGCTACAAAATGTGTAGAACAAGCTCGACCACCGCCTGGACGTGTGTCATGTGACCCAAGGGGCACACACAGAACATTTGTAGAGTGTGAAGAAAACTTGGTGAGTTTACGGTTCTTTTTATATATCAATCATACTTGCACATATAATGCTTTGGAAAATATAGCATTTTAAAAACGAATGAATCATTTACAGTAGCATGTATAACATGAGATTTTCATAAAACAATATAACAAAAATAACATGTGTAAACCTTATCTCCTCAACTGGGAAGAAAACGCCAGGTACAGAAGAAATGTTTCCTGCCCTGGGACTTTATTTTCATAGCAGTGATATCAAGTCAAATGAAAATATTATGAAAAGCATGACAGATTTCAGGCAGCAGAAAGAAATGTTATGATCGATACATTTTAGGTTTCCAAAATATGAAACTTTGTAAGTTTCAGTGACATACTATGGATATTATTAAATTACCTAACATGTCATCATACAGAATTTGCACACCAAGTTACAGTGATTCATTATACAAGGTGGTTCAAATATGACTGGGACTGATTTTTTTTTTTAAACCATAATTGCCAAATACTTACTTGCACATGTCAGTCTTCAACGTACTCCTCTCCGGAGTCAACACTTTTTTTCAACATTCTGGAAGCATCCTGATGCCCTTTTCAAAAATGGCTTGTGGTTGGCAGCGTATCCACTCCCAAACAGTCTGGATGACAGTGGTGTCGTCTGCAAACCGCATGCCTTGCAAGTCTGATTTGAGCCTTCCGAACAGGTATAAATCACTTGGGGCCAAATCAGGAGGGTACAGCGGATGTGTCAGAAGGTTCCATTTCAATTTCCGGAGGGTTTCCATTGTTTTGGCCATATGGGGGCATGCTTTGTCTTGAAGGAAGGCTACCAGCTTTCCACCTGTCTTCGGCTTGGATCGGATCTTTTCCTTCACGTCTGTTGCCAGGAGGTCTGAGTAATAAGCTGCATTGACTGTTCTGGCATCTGTCAGAAAGTCTACATGTATAACCCCCTGCCAGTCCCAGAAGAACGTTGCCATCACTTTTCCTCCTGAACGGCTCCTATGCGCTCTCTTGGGTTTGGGAGAACTGGTATGCGGCGACTCGCATGATGACTGCTGGGACTCGGGAATGAAGTAGCCCACCCACGTTTCATCGGTGGTCACTATAGACTTTAAAAATGCATCACCTTCGTCTTCAAACTGCTGTAGGAGATGACTGGCAGCTTGCATGCGCACCATTTTGTTCTAGCAACTCCCAGACAGGACTGAACGGGTTCTAACCTGAACAGGAGGGAGGGTGGAGGTTGTGGCTTCACTCTGTCAAGGTTGCACAGCTGCTGCACAGTGCAGCTTGTTTACACACAAATCAGTCCCAGTCATATTTGAACCACCTAGTAGTAGCCATCACACTAAGATATTCCATTCAGTTTCCAAGATATCTTCTCTTTTCCTAAACAAAACAGCATAATAAAAGTTAGGTCCTTTTCATAGATCTACCATCATATAAAACTTGAGGAACCTGTACTGAATGACATTTCTTCCATCTCAGAAAATTTTTATGGGCCTC